CCGTTCGTCTGTCCGTATGTATGAACGCGTCGATCTCAGAAGATATAAGAGCTAGTTAGTATTTAATTATTTATATTAATTATGTATTTAAAAAGGCGGTAATATTTTTTATTATTTTTAATATGAAATGAAAAGAATTTAAAAAATATAATATGATTGGCGTTTGATATACGAGCCATATAATATTATATTAAAGTGCTAAATAAAGTACGATCCAAAATATTTTACTTTACGTTTATATTTTATTATTATGTTACATTATAAGCACCTTTATCATCAATTTCTCTTAAACATTTCTTAAATAATAAGACTCCTCCCATATTCATTTCGCTTTATTTGAATTTCTTTTAAAACTAAAATATTTATTATATTGCTATTATTTAATTGCTATACAAAGGTATACAGTCTTATACATACAGTCTTATACATGCTATATGTACTTTATGTCTTCACATCGCATCACTCACAAAATTAAAGGATATTTTGCAGTCAGTCAGTTTTGCCTAAAGCTCTATTGTTGCTTCTTTTTTTTTTTTGCATGCCTTGCAGCCCCGACTGCAGGCTGCCCCGTTCATGAACATGAACCATGACGCAGTAGGTCATTAATTGTTTACGAGGAAATGTGCAATGTCTGGCTGCGGCACAGGTAAAAACAAAAAGAGAAAAGAAGAAGAAAACAGCAGAGCGAAGCAGCAGCAGGTGAAGAGAGGAAAAGACGCTGCTGAAGCAGGCTAATTTGGGGGGCCAGGCTGAGCAGGCCGCAGGCGGCACTTGAACGAGCTGAAAAGACATTGACAATTGTAGCCGGCTTTTGTGGCCAAGAAGAAGAAGAAGAAGAAGAAGAAGAGGAGGCCGGGGAGCAGCCAAAAGAGATAAAGAGAGGCAGCAGGCGAGCGCAGGCAGCGCCTCAAGGACGTTGCCAAGTTAAGCAAATTAGGATGCTTGAGCTAATCTAACAGCCGGCACAGGCACAAGTCGCACTCGAGTCACGTTTTGCTGCTCAATGCAATTGTTGCATGTCGCTGTCGCTGTAGCTAGCTGTCTCTGTCTGTTGCTGTCAGTCTGCGCTGTCTGTGCTGTCTGTCTGCATATGTTTGCTTTGGCTTGAGCACGTCCTTAATGTCAAGACAATGACGGCAGCAGCCAAAATAAAACAAATGCCAAACTAGCGCGCCAAACTGCAAGTCAAAGAGAGAGCAAGAGAGAGAGAGAGAGTGAGTGAGAGAGAGACAGAGCAGCGAAGACAAACGCGACTGCATTATGCGCCAAACCTACCTACGAAAAATATAAAAAAAACTCGCGCACCTGCCTCTGCAACGGCAGCAACATTGCAGACAACGACAGCGATGACAGCAACAGCAACAACAACAACAACAGCAGCAGCAGCAGCAACAGGTTCTTTATTTTTAGTAGTCGCATTTTGAAAACCGCCTGCTCAATGTCAACTCAACGTTTGAGACTTAATTGTTGCCTCTTTGCAGTCTTTGTTGTTGTTGTTGTTGTTGTCTGCTTTTGCTTCATGTCGCCTGAAGCATGTGCTCCATTCAAGTGGCTGCAGGCCCTCCAAAAAAAAGAATATATATATATATTTTTATTCCATGCTGTTAAATCCAAATACTATATATATTTAAATTACTTCAATTCATTTGCAGCACACAACAGCAATTGTTGCTGCTGCTGTTAGTTTGCCTTGTCATGCGGCAGCAACAACATCATCAAACAAACAGTCAGAACAATTTGACATTTCTAAAATCAAATTACAAATACAAGCGCAGAGACAGGCGGACAATGCGCGCACTTCCGTTCGCAGCGCGCCAGCCAAACCAATTAGCGGCAACATTGTCAAAGACGTCAGCAACGGCAGCAACTGTGGCAACAGCAACAGCAACGGCAACTGCTGCTGCTGCTGCTCGCGAATGTAGCACAATTCCAAGTTTATTTATAGTAATCATATGGATGGCTTTGCAGGCGATGGCCAATTGCCTGCGCTATGCTCGACGCATAATTGTTGATCATGATGATGATGATCGCGATGATCGTGATGATGTTGCTGCTGGCCATGACCATGACGTCAATACACAAATACTAGCGCATGCACGCAATACGCACGCCGGCAACAACGACAACATTGACGCTAATGACGAGGTGTCAACGGCACGTGAACAACAACAGCAGCAGCAGCAGCAACAGCAACACCAGCAGCAACAGCAGCAGCCACATTTATCTAGTTCTAGTCCACAAAAGAGCAGCCGCTGCAAGGCAGCAACAACAACAACAGCAACAGCAACACGCGTCATGTTGCCGGCAGCAGCAGCAGCAGCAACAGCCAAGTCTGGACAGCCATTGATGACTTTGTTAATTGCATTGCTGCTGAGCATGCGGCACGCATCGGGTAAGAGGCATCCATCACACTCACACACTCACACACAGCTGCACTGACTCATGCTTGACCCAAAATCCAAATGAAATGATAAAACACACACACACACACACACACACACATAAATCGTTTATAATAAAGTGGCGCCAATCGCTGCCTACATTTTCGTTAGCTTTGTCTCCGTAACTGTATCTTTAGCTGGAGCTCTCTCTGTCTCTGTCTCTCTCTCTCTCTCTCTTCACCTCCCATCTATCGCTGTCTCTATCTCTGTGTTCTCAGCGCGTTCATTCGCCTCAGATAAATGTGACACATTATCTTCCGAATATGACGCAATTTCTCAGCACATTCTCACATTTGTCTCAGCCCCATGTGCCAAATCAATCGAGAAGAAACAAAATAAAAGCAACGCAAAAAAAACAAGAAAGAAAGCTCTAGTCGAGACTGCTCGACTACGAGATCCCCTGAACC